GATGGTGACAGAGTTCTGCATCAAGGTTTATTGCTTTACTCTTTTTGCTAAGCAGATAAGTTTCTTGATGTCTTTACTCATTGGACTGTACAAAATCAAACGATCGTCTTTAATCAAGCAATAAGCTGACGTGTCAGTAAAGAGGTTATCCTAACATTTAAATTGTAAACGCAGATCTACAAGGAAACTTATTGACAAATTATTTTGCTTGAATAAATTAACTACAATGAAGGATGTAAGATCGTTACTATGATATAAACTCTGAAAATTAGCATACATGCTACTAATTATTTGTTATTTTAAAATCAAGATTACCATAAGAGTAATAATGTTTATTTAAATAGAGACTTACTATTTTTATAGCACAGTAATCATACTTGTGATATGGCTTTTCAGTCTTACTAAACATTTTGATTTTTAATGTGCTTCAATGTTGTAGGTAAGAGTAAATATTCCTAGAGCTTTAAAGTACAAAAACTCATCAGTTTCAATTGGCTTTTTTGCTTATAATTAAGCAGATAAATATTATAAAAATCGAACATTACTGCAAGCGCATAAGCCATTAAAACATTAGAATCACTATTTGATGCTCTTTTTAAATTATTGGTAGCTTACTAGAATTTTCAACTTAAAGAGATAATACTAAAATAATACTTAAAAAAACTGCGTTTTAGTCGTTCCTTGATCTCGTAAGTGAAAGCTTATGTATGACTTTGACAACTATCTTATAAAAGTCCTTAGCCATACCTGAAATTATGCTGAGGATTATAAGTAGAATAGAAGAGCTATTTTTCGTTAGACTTAATGTATGAGTTTCTGTGCAACATGCTCAATATGTCTTAATAAGCGCTCATTTTTTATTAACTTATTTTTATTTGGGTTGTTAGACTAATTTTTTTAGACTTTCTTATTTTAATAGCATTTATCACACACCTTATTAGTTTTAACTTATGAGAAAAAGATTTTCTTACAAATTAAGTTTTCGCAGAGGCTGTACTACAAATTGTTTAAAATAATTTTCCATAAATATGTAACAACCTGCAAGATGGTTGTTGGCATAGGTCTTGATATTAAGTTCTTGTACGGATCTGATTGCTGTGACTATAAGTTATGAGTACGCATGACTGATAAGCATCAATTTCAAACTTTACTATAGATTCATTAAAGGTTACACAAAAGTGAATGCGTAGAGTTTCTACTATTCATGACACAACAAAAGAAAAATATGCAAGTTCTTTTTATCCACAGACTTTTTTATTTTCTATCTTCAATTTTTTTAACTCAACTTTTTATAGCGTAAACTGCCTGTTCTGAAGACATATTTACAGTATGACAGTCTGTCATGAATTGACAGTCACTGGAGCGCATGTTTAACATCTTATACAACTTTTACTGTTATTAACGTTCCCAACCACGATAAAAACTTTGTATGTAACCCAATGAGTATGACTTTTCCATGGAAATTTACTAAATGACCGTACTGATGGACAATATATGGTTGTATATAGTTGATAATGCGTTTTATAACTGGTGAATAAATATTTTGTTACGGCACTTTCATAATAAAAAAACCATGGGGTACAAAAGAGAAAAATTTGTAAATCGTATAAGCTTTTCCTTCATTCACTGTTCAGTCGCAATATAACACGTTACTCACAACTTAAAGCTTAAAAATGGCCAGAGGAATAGTTGTTGCTTTCATTACTGCTTTTTATTTTAAATCCTAAGCGTTTTCAAAATTAAATGTTTTTATAGGTCAGTTGTCTTTTTTGTTTATGTTTTACCCGTGTGACTACTCATCGTTGACTGACTACAAAAATGGGCTTCAAACTACTTAAATAGATTTTCTTGTTAAATACGATCTTCATTACAATAAGCGTTTTGTATGTCACCTTATAGTTATGAATTTTCAATGAATATCGACTAAATGACATGCTCAATATAGAAAGCCTAGTTATATTCAGTTGACCATGGGTCTATCAATTAAAAAATAGATAATTTTTAAGTATCCTTCAATAGTTTTATAGCCTAGAAGTAGAACTGGACAGAATTTCTAAATCGTATGAGCTTTTTTCCGAATTTATAGGCTCCAATAATGCTATTACACCTAACTCTTTATTCATTAACTTTGAGAATAGCTACAGGTAACTCTGAGTTATAAGTAGTGATTTCTTTTAGGGCTCGTTAAGTAAAACCGTCAATATGAGCTATAGAACCTCTTGCTTTTAAATGATTCAAATCAGTGTTGGTAATATTACTGCAAAGTATATGGTTGTTTTGTTTGATATTTAAAGCTTTATCGTTAGGTTGCTGTGCGTCCACGAAAATTTTGTAACTGCATTTGGAAAGTGAACACTCAATCAACCTTGTAATATTTATTTGTACGTTTGTCAATATTTAGATTTTAATCAAACAAAGACACAAAACTTCATAGGTAACCGATATTCTGGTTTTAATACACAAAAAGGTCCAGAAAAACCTATTGTCAATGATTTTTCCATGACTGCTGAAAAGCAAATAAATGATTTTTCGCCATAATATTACCTAATACACTTTTTAAAAAAAATTTTTAGCATAACTAAGTACAATGATGCAAATCATAATCTTATTATTTTATATGGTTATGCTAAGTATTATTATTGACTTTCAAATTTAGCACTATATCAGTAAGTGGCAGTAAGACCAACTGTTACATTAGAGACGTAGGTCTAAACTTGACTGACAGCAAAAAGTTGTTATAATTTGTAGTTTATTTCATTTTAAGTTTGCATTTTTACCCCTGTTAGCATTTCCACGCATTAACACTTTTATTTCTTACTTTAACCCTTTATGTATAGCTAACACTCAAGGAATCTTAACTCTGGTGCTGACTACAAAGCTTCTTTCTCATTATTTTCTAGAAGTTGCTAGCCTTATCTTGTAACATGTTTCTATACCTTCAGATAAGCCATGTTTAAGGTATATCGACGTGTCGTGCCCTTATGGTGTCACCTAGTACTCTCAAATCTCTCATGACTGCAGTGTCTCCAGCCACATAATAGATTATAGTCTCCTGTAGGTTGCTATGAACTGATAGACGGAAAAAAGTAAGACTGGTGCACTCGTTCTTAATTTTTTCTTCTTGAAGATTTGCCAATAAGTCTTCTCTGTCCCCATGCTCAATGCCTACTCATAGAGAAGTCTTCACCATCCATTTTGGTCCCCTATCCTTGTTATACTACCAAGATATTATGCAGCTTCCTCAAATAATAAAACCAATGGCTATTGCTGTTGTATATAATTTTTTATTATATCCCCTGACGACATTTCTCTCCTCTTTGGGTAGGAGCCTTTTCAAGTCAAAAAGATTATTTTGTTCGAAGATTCAGACAACGTCAGTACCCAACGAGGGCACATAGTCGACCAGTTTTTGATTACTGACTGGTTGACTATGTGCCCTCGTTGGGTACTGACGTTGTTTGAATCTTCGATCACAATAATCTTTTTGACTTGAAAAGGCTCCTACCCAAAGAGGAGAGAAACGTCGTTAGGGGATATAATAAAAAATTATATACAACAGCAATAGCCATTGGTTTTATTATTTGATGAATTTTGTCTTGCTCGCTGTTTTTGGAGTCATAAACATCATATTATACAGCTTTTTTTTCTTTCAACTAAATACACATACACACATACATACCTTTTTTCCTGGTTCAATACAATTTGTAACAGACACTATGAAAATAATTATTATTTCTGATAACCACTTTACCAAATAGTAGGAACAAATTTCTATCACCCTACACCACCATACTAAAATATTCACATGTGGTAGCACCCAATAGTACAACTTATATTTCTTAAATTACTTCAAATCACTGGCTTTGATTTTCTGTTTTCCTCTCTTTCATAATCACATAAAACAAAAAAAAAAGACAAACTTACGTACATGGGGCCTTAATACTTAGCTATAGGCATTACAGTTTGTGTCTAGTCAAGTTTTAGTGTTTAGAGACAAATGTGAAAAAAAACCTCTGTCATACTATATTAATCACAATACAATTTTAAGAAATTCGTAAACGTATGCTAATTTGATACTACTAGTTCATTTAATAGAAGCTGTATTAAGCCCTGCTAGTGTGATCTAGTACTAACATGGTTATAGGAGAGCAGAATTGGAAAAGTGTTAGGTAGATTGGAACAATAGTATGAGGTAAGCCAAAAATCCTGTGCTCAATGAATTAGACCAGTGAGCCAGAAATTACTTATGCGGTACCATGAAGTGGGTCAGAATCATAGTCTAATAGCACAAGGTGAGCTATAACTGCTTCGGATTCAAGCCCAGCAGAGTACATCGAAATCATGAGATTTAGCTCGGACAATAGCACTAGATGAGGCAAAATTATTTGTATTATTATAGATACTTACAGTGTCTCTAAAACAGTAGTATACTTGAACTTTATTCAGGACACCAAGGTTGATCTCGTTTAGAGTAAAAATTTTGAAAAACTTAAAACTAATTATTTTTATTATCTTAGTAAAATTAAAAGAATTTCCGAAAACTCTGAAGAACTAAATTAGTCTGATAGTCTAGATAGCAGTTTTCGTATCGAAATGGTCCTGCTAGGATGGCCTCGTACTCACAGAGGTAAAGGAGGGAGTAAGATTCTGTTATGTCAAGAGAAAATAATAGTATAAGATAAGCCAGAACAATAGGCTTAGAATCATTTTCTTTAATATCATGAGGTGAGTCACAATAAGTAACAGTTCTGGCTTAATCGAGATTAGTTCGATTTAACGTTACAAAGAAAGCTTATTATTTTTTTTAGATGGTAAAATTATAATTTCTACCAAAAGTGTTTTCCTTTTTTAAGTATAAAGCTTATAGTACAACAATGGCTATTGTTAAGACTATCATTTTTCGTAAAATAACTTTTTCTTTACTTTAGAATCTACGCAAGTAAATAAGGCAAGCTCTAAGCTCCATAAAACAATTGTAAGATTTAAATGTAACTACTCACCAAAGATATAACTTTCGCAACGTAGTAAAGCTGAACAGAGTACATTCCTGAGTTAAACTCTCTTGTTAGTAATGGCATTTCCTGTGGTATTATTGAAAGAGTACTATACATAGGAAAAAAGGTATTTTCTGATACAAGTATAAATATGAGACCTTGGATAGCTTGAATGCCTAACTGATTCATTTCCAAGCTGCCAAAAAAACATAATCCAGCTACCGTAGCAACAATCTAAAGAAGCAGAAAAAATTATTATTTTCTAACACATGAAAGAATCATTATATCTCCAATATAAGTAAAATATGTAAAACACATCCTTAAAATATCTGTATTGCTTTTGTAAATGGTTACCAAAAAAAAGGAAGACTGATAGAGTCTAGCCAATAGAGGACTAAGGACGCACTAGAATATAAAGTAAGCAATAGCACATCATATGCTTGCTTTACATACCTAGTATTAAAAGCAAAATTCTTAAGTTTAAACATTGTGCGTCAGCAAAGAGTTAAGTATATAATAAATACTTTATACTACAACGTTAATTTACGCTGTTTTACTGTTATGTCATATAAAACTACTACAGTTCTATAACTCATTAAGTCACTTAGCATTAAGATCCTTAGTTTTTTATTATAGATATATTTCAATTTTAAAATAAAGTTCTTATACAAACAACGACTTAAAACTGTAAACTTAAATATGTCTTCCTAAAGAAACTTTGAGCAGCTTGTTGTTAATGCATTTATATTGGGAGTGTGGAAAAATAATTCAATTTTTTCAATAAGGTGAAAAAATAACGTCAAAATAATTTGAACTTTTTAATTTTCCCCACCATCTTTAAATGTGTATTTCTCTACGTAAGCTACAAGAAAATGCTGTAAGAACTCAAATATGGTATCCTATAAGGTATAAAAAAAATGAGGTTAGCAATGTTTTAGTAAAAAGCCATTTTGCCATTGTTTTCTCTATCAGTATCGAATTGGATAAAAAGCGAAAAATACTTAAAAATCATAAAGCAAAGCTTCTTGTGATTATTAAATCACATATTTAACAGTAACTTAATGGTACAACCAGTTAAGAAGTGGTGGTTCAAGTTTGAAAGATCATGAACATGGACGTCATCTAGAACAATGTGTAGGCACTAATTTGCAAGCTTTGCTGAATGAGCATTAGTATCAGAGTCAATAACAATCAGCAGAAGTGCTTTCAGTGAGTCCAACAAAAATTACAAGATATTTGTGAGCAATGGGAAGAATTGCAAAGGCACAAAAGTGTGTTTCACACATGTTAAGTAAAACAAACGAGCGAGTTGATAGTTGTCATTCCTTCCTCGAAAAAAATCAGAAGAAGTCGTTTTTTTAGAAAATTATAACAGAAGATTGAATAATTGTGACAGTCTCAAGATAAAAAATCTTGTGTTGATATTGAACAGTACTCCACGTAAATTATAAGCCGCGAAAATTGTATAAAGAGGGTTATGCTTGGGGTTTAGTAGGATTCAAAAAGAATTTACTATAATAAGCTGCTACAACTAAAGCAAGCATTTACAGTCAAAATTTGATGTCAACAATTAAACCAGTCTAGTACCATGTTTAATAAAAAATGTCTGTTTACTAGCGATGGACTTCATTAAGTAAAATTGTTGCATGAGAAGCAAGCCAGAGCACACATAGTAAGACTTGGCTGAAAAGTTTTGCGGTACCCTTTAAACTCTACAGACCTCTCGCTAACTAATGACACATATTATAGACTTATAAACAACTGTTTTTAAGGTGTACTCTTTGACACATTTGAAAAAGTGTCAACGGAAGTTAATAGTTTCTGTGCATTGAAAAATCAAAGATTATTTTGTAAGTCAGCGTCAGAAGGTGTTGGACAATGATGGAGAATACTTGATTAACTAAGCGGGAAGTAGTTTTTTGTATACATGAGACTAAAAATTTCTTTTAAAATGTTACATTATTTTTGCACATACCAACTATTTTTTAATTCTTACTAATTGCAAGCCACTTTATTTTAGAAGATAAACATACAGCTATACTTAAGAAACAAGATGATTAAAAAATAAGGATCATTTTTACTAGAAGAAGCAGCCTGTGTTAAAAGTACTGTTCCTAATTCTTCAGAAGGAGCAAAACAATAATGCAGCGTCCTTCCAGTTTTTTAAAATAGATTCAACGAACTATTTGTTCATCGTAGCCTAACATTCTAAAAGTCAGAAAAAGAAAAAAAATAAATGATCTTTTGTGTGAGCTGTGTTACAATTTTTTTGTTTAAGGTAATTCAGCTTAATAGAAAGGTTTTCGTTGTAAAGTAAATCTTATTACTGATTAATTACGTAGTGCTGAGTAAGCAGTGCTAGTATACTAAGTTCACTTATACATTTCAGGCAGATATAAAAATTTCTTCCAGATATTTTCATAAAACATGGTAGTAACTGTAAAATAAATATTACGCAAAAAATCAAGCGTTTTTAAACAACAAGAAATAGAAATTACCAGAAATAATCGTCAGGTATTACAACTTTTACCTTAAGCCAAAAATAAAACGTGTCAGTGTATGATTGGTAGTTCTTCTTTGTTTTATCTCTACGTACATGTGTATCATGTTACAATAGCATACCTTCGTCTTGACCACGACTAAGCTTGTACCACTTGATAAATGGACGGCTATAAGCAATGATTTACTAGACCTAAGAATACAGTTTTCGAAAATTTTTGTTAATTATATTTGTGTTTAATGATTACAATTTCTTTGATGCTTGTATGTAATGAAAGGCAACCTTATATTACCACAAAAATTAAAGACAACCTAGATTCTAGCTTTATTTTAAATTTGGTGTTATCTTAGAATTATAAAATATGTCTATAAATAAAAACTGTAAGCATAAAGTTATCTCCACGCCTAGCAAATACGAGCAGCTTTTTCATGAAAAGTTTTAGCTACTTAGTAATTTCGCTAGAACTAGTAAATATTATTATCATGCAAATTAAGAGATGTGTGTATACTATATACATACCTTCAGCATCAATTGATTGTTGTTAACTAAGTAAAATACCAGGTGATGGGTGGAAATTTATTTCTACTAAGTAATATCTTATGCTAGTTTTTCGTTTCGTGATGTTGTCTCTGTCAATAATTCACTAAACGTCATTTTTAAAAAAAAGGAAAAGCTAGAAACACTTTTTTCTTACAAGGAATACGTACTACCTGATTTTATCTAGATAAACTGAAATATAAAGAAAAAAAGTGAAAAATCAAGTAACGCATAATTTTTTAAATATCTCATTTCATATTTTGAGCTTTTAATTATAAATTAGTCTCCTCATGTAAGGGCTTGATTTATTTCTAAAAGCGCTTAAAATGTATGTCTACTATCATTTTTTTTATAAAATAGCTAGCTGTGAAAGAAAAGTTAGTATAAAACTGTAAAATGAAGGCTACCTTTCTGATGAGTAAGTAAGCTTAAATTATCTGCACACTACCCTAAATTATGAGGTGTTATATTTAACCTATTTTGTCCATATCTGCAGCATCATTGTGAGTTGTGCGTTGGAAGTCCTCTATTTCTCGTCTATTAGGTTATTCCTTACTACACTCATCATCTTTTGATATCAGGAACAACAGAATTGTTAAACTGAGGAAGTGACAACGCGGCCTTATTCTGTCTACATATATAGACAATTCACGACGTTTTGAAGGACACATATGTATAAACTTTAAAAGGACTAACCAAAACCCTGTTATTGACTTACACCTCCCATTGCCCTTATCCTTTAATCAGCCATTTTCATTTTCACTGTTTATGCGAAGAATAAGGCCGTGTGATTACTTTATTAGTCATACAGCTCTGTTGTTCTTGATACGTATTCATTGGTCTCCTAGTCAAAATGAAATTTTTTTGTTCGGTCAGTGTCCTCTCATGAGCAGTATACTTATGTTTCAGTTATTCTATACTTAGTATCAAATTTTTCTTTTTTAGTTACTGTTGACGCAACGGTAGGGTTTTTTTTACTAAAACTAAAAAACAGGGTCACGTGATCGTCTATTTCATGTAAATTAGTGTTTTTTAAGATAGTGAGTCACGCTGCAAGGTGTTAACGTCAAAATGCCACAGTCATTGAATCCAGTGTCTTAAAAATGAGTGAAGATCTCGTTTCGCTCATGACAAATTTATCATGACCTTGGCACTATATACGAGCTTGTAGTCTTTTATCAAGTTCTTTGATAGTATTGTGGATGTTGACGTTGGTACTAATAATACGATTTTCTACTCAACTTTAACATCGTCTTGTCAAAAACGTTTTGAAAAACAAGTAAACCATGGCTGTACGGTATATTTGGGAAATACCTTAATGTGTGCTCATAAGACAGTAATGCTTTGTATTAGTTCCAAAAATACTGTAGAGAATAATTTTCATTACCTATATGAAAAGGTGTAAGTTTTGCTTTCATTAAATAACATAACCCACCTCTGTTTTCTGCATATTTACGTCATAGGTATGTTGTACAAAAAAGATTTAACCGTTCGTCTAGTGCGTGTGGTCCAAAGTGGTTAATGCAAACATTGTTCATGTAAACTCCAGAATTTAATTTTGACATAGCAGGCGTGTTATCAAACATTCTACAAAATTGATAGTTAACAAGGTCAAGAGAGACTTTGACTAAAACTTATTATAATCCATGATATTCATTACGTATACTTGGAAAAAATGCAAATTGGTTCTTGTCGAGTAAGAAGATTAGTCTATTCTGCAGGAGATTGAAAAGGCTTTTTTTTAAGAACCAAGAGGTTTGTGGCACGTACCGAAGAAAAAAGCTGTTATCAATTTCGTCACAAAGCCTTTACGACCGAGTAATACGAACTATTTTTCTTACAAAGAATGTAGGTGTATGACAGTTGCAAAAGTGCCTCATATAGAAAACCGTATATTTTCTTCCGGGGGTACAAAGAAAAAAATCACGACCAAAAAGTAAGATTTTTGTACGTTGAAGATAAAGATGTAAACAACCTTAAAATTACTAAGGGCACAAAGTAGAATTTTGTTTCTGTAGGGACATATTCGGTTGAAAATAATTTTAAGGGCCAGAAGTGTCTCCCGAAGGCACCAAAGCCTTGCCACAGTTTAGACTCATGGTAGATAAGATCAATTATTTTAAAAAATGATTTGGTT